GGGGGATTTCTAGGAATCCTTTTCCTTCCCATTTGCGGAGGCAGCTTGTTTTCCATTAATGCAGGGTCCGGCAGGGTTATTCCTTGGAAAATGAAAGTCAACCAAATGGAACAGCAGGTCCATGTGAAGATCTTCACCTCTCCCTTCATCTCTTTGAAGGCCTTCTCCATGAGAGAGGATTTGGAGAAGGAAGTCCGGCATAAGTCGAAGCGGAGCGCTACATGGGGAAGATCCATGGGGCTGTGATCCAGAAATTCGATGACGAAGTACCTCTTGGCCCATTTCTCAATTTTTGCCTCCACTTTTGTGAAGATAGGCCATAGTTTGTTCCTGTACACGTTGAAGTAAGGAAATGGACCGCCATTACTGAACAAGAGTAGGAAATCTTCAATGGAAGGAGTCCTCTATTGGCCATGGCAGAAAAATGTACGAAGCCAGGTTCTTGTGGGTGTTTGAAGTAAATTTTCTAGGCGGAACTTGCCAAGTAGTGAATATCTCCCAGATGAAGGGATGGAGCTGCAATCTGAAGCCGACTAGGACATAGTCATAGTGCATCACAAGGAAGCGACGCAGTTCGAGATGACGCTCACGCCACCCACAGTATCTGGGTGGTGAAACTTGAACGGATGAGAGCAAGCTCTGGTTCCTTGATAGTGGAAGAATCGAGCTGCCATTGTTCAGGATTAGTGGGTTTGGAAGACATGCTCAAAGATTCGAAAGAAGCCGAGAATCGCAAACGAAGACCTCTAGAGATTGAGTAGAATTTGGGAATGCTAGAGAAGAAAGTGAGATTTGCCTGAAGGACTTTTGTTTATAGACGTTATATGTGGAGCCCAAGGCGAGAGGATTGGAGCCATTTCCAATTTGGCACGAGGTTTGAAGGCTGCTCATCAATATTAGTTTCTGAGTGACACGTCACTAAGAAATTAGGGGGCTTGTGATAGATATCGGATCAATCGCTGGGTCGGGGAGGCCCGAAGAGCTCCACTACCACGGCCCAAGAAGAATAAGGGGGCTCGACGCCTATGTGTAAAGTGTGGTGGGCTGAATAATATGATTAGGGGACAAGAGCCCAGCCCCACTAATCAGCTCGCACAATACGGGGAAGGGCAATCCCACCGATCATGGGTAATTAACAACTGATTCCTCGTGCATGATTAACACATGATTAGCCAATTAGCCCGATATTAAAGCGCACAAATTACATACCAAATATACATGAATGCTAGATTATAAATAGGAGGCGTTTTCCTCCATTCTAACCCAAGCTGAATCAAGCTAATAAAAGGATACAAGAATTATATTTCATTCTATATTATTCTTATTTGCGTACAAGTTTTTTATGCCACCATATATAGTTGTTGGGGTAAATCCCATCAATGTAGTACCCAACTTATGAATCGATTTTGGCTACAATTAAATATTACACCAAGATATCTTTTTCCTTGGGAGAAATGATATTCCTGAATCCTATCCCCCAACTTTGTACGTCACTCAAGCGACTACGTGCGTACCTCTTCCCTCTCCACAAATGGCAACACCTCAAATGATAAGTTATTGTCAATAAAAACTCCTCCTTCATTAGAGAGGGGATCTAATTTCTATTGTACAACAAATTTTTATAAGCTTTAACTCGATCTTATTATCTTATATTCTTAATTCTATTTTTATATTAACAACCTACTATCTATAATTACATGATTTACATCATACTCCCTCCGTCCCAATTTAAATTGCGTATTTTCCTTTTTCGTCCATCTTAAATTAGTTTTTTAATTTCCTTTTTGGGTAAGGATTTATTTGTACACTACCAAAAATACCCTTCAGTCTAGTTACTCAAACAACCCACCCCACTTCTCATTTACTCCTGTCATTTATGTAGATCTTATTTGCGTTCTTCTTTTCCAGTTGTTTCCTCTTCTCTGGACATTTCTTTGTTCTCCAATCCTCTTCTCTCATCATTCTCCTCTTCTCTCCTCTTTCATCTTTCTTCTCTTCTCTCATTTCATCGTTCACCTCTTTTCTCCTTTCATCTATTCTATCTTGTTTTGGGATCTTTTCTTTCTTGAATTCGGATCTAGGGTTTTTTCTTCTTTATCCATATCTACGAAATTCAGATCTAGGCTACCTATGAGCCCTTTCGACATCTAAGGCTAGTGTTTTCTTAAATTTTCTTATATTTATCATATTTAAGCAATTGAAAAAATGTTTTCATTGGTTTTTTTACAGATCGTAGTAATGGATGATGTAGACGATGAAATAAGTTTCTCATCTATCGCTAGTACTCTAGATTCTTACGAATCAGAGCTTGAATACGTTTTTGATGAGATCCGTATTGAAAAACAGATGGTAATGTTGATGGAAAAGCTTGCTGCTTATTGAAGTACCCCCTCTGCTCGCAAAGAAGATGAATGTAAAGAGGATGAGTGTAAGGAGAATGAGGAGGATAATGACACCCAGTCTGAGTCCTATGAATACGAAGAAGGGCATGACGTTTTGTGGGATTTGTTTATCTCAGATCCAAAGGGGCGCTACAAGGACTTCTAGGGGAGTACTTTTCCCTCTTCATGTGGGTGTAATATTTAAATTAAGTGTCTTAGTATGTGCATTGATCTATTTCTGACTCTAATTGGGAAATTAATGATGACAACTTGCAGTGAAGAATGACATGTGACTATATGCTGCATGTTACGTTGTTTGTAATATGTTTATAGTGAATTTGCCATTGCTTTTGTGTTTGTTCTTTTTGGAACTTGAAGCCACCCACCTAAGATCAATGCTAGAGGTAACATTTGTGTGGCCTCTCACTGCATCCAATGTGTTTGGTGGCCTTATGTGATGAACATCCATTTTAACAGTAAGGGTTAAGATGTTAAATGTCCATACATAACAGCCTTTACACACTACTTACAAAAAAAGTGTTTGCATACATAAGTGCCCATGCAAACTACTAACAAAATAGTATTTGTATACATAAGTGCACATACACACTAGTGACAAAAACAAAATAGTGTATATGATGAACACATTTAAAAAACAAGATATTTCAAGGATGAGAAGACTTATATTATTTCTAATGCATTGTCGCCTCATACATTTCTGTGCTTACCTTTATTTGGTTTGGTAGTGCACCTTCCCTCTCAAGTCTTCCATTTCCTATGTGTGCCAACTTGTAATTGTTTCCTCTTTGTACCTTCACGATCTCTGTCATTTCCAGCTGGTAATTGATCCATACATTGTTCAGTTTCTTTGCATCTAAATTGGCATATGCTTCAGCCGCATGTTGTACCAACTCTCCACATTTTTTGTTGTTGTCGGATGTTGCAATGTCTGTATTGATGCAAAGAAACCCAGGTCTAAAACTGTAACACCCCGGCCCCCACCCTGGCCGTAAGTGTCTTCTCATAGGATTGTAGACTGGCCCCACAAACAAACACAAGTCTTTCTCGTGCACTTTATCCTCACTCGTGCACACCCAAGGAATTTTCCAGGAGGTCACCCATCCTAAAATTGCTCCACATCAAGCACGCTTGACTTTGGAGTTTCTTGGTGATGAGCTCTCGAAAAGAAGATGCACATTGTTGGTATGAGTAAGTACTATCAATTCTTTTGAGCCTTTTCTTTCCCCAATCCATTTATTTTCCAATTTGGGTATTACATTCACCCCCACTTAGGAATGCTACATCCTCATTGCATCCTTTTTTTCAAACCCCTATATCTTCCCCGCTAGATGAACTAAGCTCTTTTGGCCCGTCACGGTCGCAGGGTTGCTCTGATACCATTTGTAACACCCCAGCCCCCACCTTGGCCGTAACTCTCTGCTCATAGGATTGTAGACTGGCCCCACAAACCAACACAAGTCTTTCCCGCACACTTTGTCCTCACTTGTGCGCGTCCAAGGTACTTCCCAGGGGTCACTCATCCTAAAATTGCTTCAGGTCAAGCACACATAACTTTGGAGTTTCTAGGTGATGAGCTCTTGAAAAGAAGATATACCTTGTTGGTATGGATAGTATTATCAATCCTTTTGAGCCTTTTTTTTCCCCAGTCCATTTATTTTCAAATTAGGGTATTACAAAAACACTTAGGTCTTGTGAGTTTGGTGATTGACATGTAAGCTCAAAGTTGTAACCATCAGCATTGGTTGCTTGCACAAACTTTATGTCATTAACAGCAATATGAGGTTTGGCATTATCCTGATGTATGACTATGTGTTTAGTGAGTGCATCCAGTACTTTCTCCTTGATTACTGCCAGAACTTTTTAAATCAGGAATCTTCTATATACCTCTTTTGTGATTTTAGGTGTGGGTTTGGTCTATAAGGTTCCTACTGGCCTATTTTTACTACTATGTGCAAGAACCTGAATTTTTAGAAACCAAATGCCTGCTTTCCCGTCCCATATTACCCCCCCCCCCCCCGAGGACCAAAGACATGCCTCCCTACTGCACACAAGTGCATTAGTTTAGGCAAGTGAGCCTTACTTTTAGCTTTACTATGGGGCTCCCTCTCCCTTTCAGTTTTATACACTCTCAGTGATTGTTTGGACATTTCAAATTATTTTTCATCCACATCAATAGTACAAGAAAGATCTTGAAAGGTCAGTCGGTGAGTGGGGAAGGGATTCTGAAAGAATTGTCTTAACACAAAAGCTAACCTGTTAAACTTGTTTTCTTCTGTTAAGAAAGGCTTGGTAGCATTTGTGTGACTTCATAGTTTCCCTTTTGTATGCATCTATATAGTGTGGATTTGGGTACTTGTATAGCTATAGACTTAGATCTAATGTTTGTTCTTCTGTGAAATGAAATACTCTCTATCTGTGCCAAATCCAAACACAATCTTTTTCGGTCCACAATGTTTGTCTTGTTATTACTTGCATCCTATCGAACAGTGATCTATCCACATGTTGGTTACGACAAGTACGCCAAAGTGAACATACTGTTCTATGACATATGTCGAAGTCCTTCATGATTTCTTTAATCGTGCCCCAATGAAGTTTCCCATTAGTTCTCTTTTTTTAATGGGGGCAGTAACTTATTCTTCTACTACTACTTGTTTTTCATCATCATCATCATCTTCTTCTTCTGTGACAGTCGGGAGCAGCTTGGGTGACATGTTGGAGTGGATGAGGGATGAAGGGAACTATGGCAGTCTCTGTGTTGATGAAGTCCATGGAAGATATGCCTTTGGAGATTGTTTTAAGGCTTTGAAGAAACTAAGTATGTCTATTTTGTGTTTGATTATATAGATTTAGATTGGATTTTTTTGGGTGTAATCGAGGGAAGTTTTCCCTCCATGACAATGATTTGATGTATTAATGGATTTGGTAGTGGATTTGATAAGTGTAATCATTCCTATGGTGATGTTTGAATGTGTGTTATGCCTCTGTTTTTTGGTGTTGTACGTGGGGTCTCTTTTCATGTTCTTAGCTTCAAAGCACAAAAAAAGGAGGGGCAATTTTGGATGGTCAACATCAATTTTTTCCTACCTTAAATATGCTCCTAAGTCAAACTAGGCAATTTAAAACAAGATAAAGAGAGTAAATAAACCAAATTGAAAATAATATTAGTGAAACATTATATGGGAAGATAAATTTGGGACAATGGAGTAATAAGCCATCACAAGAAATTCAAAAAAAAAACAAATGATTTGAAGTTAGGGTTTTGTAAAACTAGCTAACAACCTACCTTACTAAATATCTTTTCTTCAAAAACATATGACCTAAAGAATTGGCATAAAGAACTGCCCAAAAAAGTGAGAGATCATCTAACAGCTGAATGCCTTCATCTTTGCAAACACAAGTTTTAAGAACCTAAGTCACACATTCACACCACCCCTTCGGATGCTCTTCACCTTTCACTCATTTTATATACATTAGATTTCCTGATTGAGTTGTGATTTTGTGATCCTAAGGTCCAAATTTTACATGTAAATATTTTCACATATTTTTATGCGCTCACAATTTGTTTTTTACAAGGCTCAATACAAAATATCATTTTATGTATTAAGATCCATAAAATGAACATAAATCTAAACCACTAAAGAATTTACCATCCTGATGTAATTCAGAAACTCCTTTGTTTATCAACTTCCTGCATAGTTTATACACAAAAGAAGTCATTTCATATTGATTGACTATTTCTGGATTGAATTAATACACATTTCTTGTTCTATGGTGGCAGTATATTTTGTATCAACTAAAGTAGGAGAAAATGTATGCATCACACCTCTAAAACTATTGCTCAACAAAACAAAATAACCACACAAACTCATCAAAAGTTAGGGCGTGAGCACAACAAATGTGTACAACAATCACCAAACTTGTGTGATTGGGAAAGGTGGCCACAATGACACACTCATCAAACCTGTGGTTTTCAATCACATTGGCCAAACTCACAAATATATTGGCCCCAGGGCTCTTCTGCCACTACATGGCTTCACCTCTCTTACAGCAATTGCTTTTCTTTCTTTTTTTCTTTTTGCCTTCTACGGAGTATTTTTTCCTCTTTGAAAATGTTTACGAATATACAGCTTTCTTTTTGCACGACCTATAAACGCTAAACCATATGAGGCCTCAGAATTCTACTTTAAAAAGATGAAACGAGGCTGGACCTAAAAGTCACGCGGATGAACCAGATTTCAGTTTATTGTGGGGGTTACAATTCCATGGACATTAACAACCTCAGATCATTTGATACTTGTGACGAAGCAGCCTCAACAACCTCAAAGCCGACTTTCCTGTACAGATCCAGTGCACATTTGTTTCCTTCATCTACATGAACAAATAGCTGATTCATACCTGTTTATCACATTTCGGAGAGAAAGAGTGAACAAAGAGGGGAAAAAAGAATGGCAAACGTTAAAAACAGCTAAAACAGAGTTTAGAGCACCTTCTGACGTAGCAACTTCAGTAGCCAAGTACAACATGTTTGAAGCAATACCCTGACGGCGAGCAAACTTTGCGACACAAACGTTTGCAATATAAGCATATCTGTGGGTGTCAAAGGGTGCAAAGATGCCTGATTGCCGTTTCACTTCCTGGTAGCAATGAGAAAATAAACCATCTCAAAACCCCAAATTGCCAAGTTACACAGATAAGCATTCTATCCAGGGTCCACACATAAATGCAAATTTCAAAGATACTACCCCGGGATAGGTCTCCCCTTGCACATATTGCCGAATGCTAAGATCCAATGTTCCCACCACACTGTTTAGTACAGTTCTTCTGACATTTTTCTCTTCCTTCTTGACCTGAAANGGGGGGGAGGTCTGAGTTACTAGAATCTTACCACTCTCAATGATTCTACAAAACAAATCCCACAAGATTCATTGGAACCTGACACTGAGTTTTCGTCAATCGTCATAAGAAGTACTCCCTCCATCCCCATTTAATGTTCTGAGTTTCACTTGCCACATTGTTTAATAAGAAAATGAATATTTTGTGGTTGAGATGTGTTTAGAAAAGAATGAAAGACTATGAACCACACGCTTTCATAAAAGAGACTATGAACCACACGCTTTCACTTAAGAGAGAATGAGCTGATTACTTAGACACAACCTGAGAAGAAAAGTAGGTTGATAAAAAAGGTATGGAGGGAGTATGCGATACATATTAAAATAGAAGAAGAATAATAATACGTGTACAAGTCGGCTTATTTAGGACTTGTCTGATACTTACTGTAACAAAACAGAAACACTTCAGTGATCTTCCATCCTGGACAGAGCATCTTTGCCTTAGAGCATAGAACTCCTGCAATCTCAATTGAGACAACCCCGACATATTGTAAGACATGTCATCTCACCAATAATGAGGGGAGATCATGTGCATAGCCACGTAGACAATAGAGTCATTGCAGCAAAATAGATGGGCAGGCTCGACAACTATGTAAAACTCTTTTGAACCAAACAACAGTATCATAAAATATGTATTTTACTTTTTTCAATTAGCAATATTTAAATACAAATACCAGACTGACAACAGTTATTGAAATATCATCATAGACTCATTCATAGATGTTAATGACCTATTATCATACCCCACTCATAACATACTATAAACCATTGCCACTACATAACCGTTTCAATTTTCAAGACTTGGAAGAGGGAAACCAATCAAGCACTAAACATGACAATCAATAAACCAAGAGCTGGAGTAAGGCCACAAGTTTTTAACAATAGAGTCTAAACTCTAAAGTACCATGCAACAAGAAAAAATCATTCCACGAAATAGCGTCAATTATTATGACAAGAAGATACGAGAAAAGATATAAGTAGATACATATCATTAGCGCACATTTCAGATACAAAGTAATTGAAATTCTCAACAACCAAAGTGGTGCTAAACCAATAGGAGAATATTTGCAGGGATCAAACCATGGAATAATGGTCAATGGGTGATAACTTTACTACAACAACAACAACAACATTACTCCAGTGCCTCAAAGGCTCCCACCCATTGCGGGGTAAGGGGGGTCGGATGTACGCCCATTATGTTTAAGACATAGAGCAGCTATTTTGAGATCACCCATGATGAGCGTCGAAAGTTGCATTGACTAACTGCTATTTCACTATCGAAAGAAGCACATTTAGTTTAAAGAGCCATTTTGCTTTACTCCATTATACTCCAAAGCCAAAAAATAGTGAATCTATGGCTCCATAGGACATGATGGAAAGGACAACTTCGCGACAACAAACTTTAAAAAATATCATACAATACATATTGCAGTAAGGCTCCAACACCATGTAAGTATATGAAAAGTTAGCGATTCTATATGTCCACCCCCTGCAAAAGAGCTATCTTAAAGGTTAGTTCATTTACTTTTAGTGCCTTGATGGAAAAATGAGTGTTCTTTTCTCTTACTGCTACAATAAGTATTAGTTATTCACTAAGGTTGCCATCAAACATGAACAAGGTTTTGACTTAAAAGATCTTTTAAATTTAGCATTAATCCATAATTTGTTAATTGGCTGAAATACAAAATGATTCATTATCGAGTAACTCACCTGTTCTGCATAGTTTCTTTTATAAGCATCAACATGCCTATAAGATTACAAAAGCATGATAATTAATATTTATAGGACTTGTGAGCTGTTTCTAGCAAACGTGTGCAAGAAAAATCAATAGATAAAAGAGACATGTAAAGAAATTGAGGGCCGAATAACCTAGTAAAGGACAAGGATTCCCAATGAGCTTCTGCTCGTAGCCAAGACGCTGCCTGCCATTAGAATTAGAGAATGTGACAAGAAATTTATTCAATTTTTTTAAAATATGAGAACCAAACATGAGGAAAATAGTAAATATTAGGAAGGGGAAAATCCAACCCAATACTCTTCATCCAGCATGGCCTCCCGAGCAACAAATCGACCAAAGCTACGTTTTTTTAGTCCATAGTACTCCTCAGTTGGTTGTAGCCGATTAAAAGATAGCTCAGGTAGCTTGTTCTTTGTGCTGTCAGTCTTGGAAAGATGTGAATGACGGATACTCTGATCATCGTTACAATGTACTTCAAGATTCTTCCATCTATCAAAAGAAACATGAAGTGTCTCCCTGTGCATGGTTATTTAGAAGTTCAGAAACAAACAAACTTATCACGTGACTTAACTGGTAGAAGGGAAAATCACTCTTAGTCCTCAACTGTTTGACATTATGTAATCAATATACGTAATATTAGATTTTGTAATTTTGTAATTTTAGTTCATCAACTCTTTTAATTGAGAAGAAACAATTAATCCTATCCACTCAATCTCACCCTTCGGTATTAAGGTCTACAGGGGAATTATTGGTAGCATAGAATCCCAAAAATGCCCCCATAAATGGTAATTTTGACAGGTGGGACTAACTGTATTTAGATTATAACAATTGAGGAACTAAATTTACAAAAAGCCAAAGAGATGTCACAGGTCATATGATGTCAATTGGGGACCCAGAACACAATTTTTTTCTTGAAAGACATCTCTTCGTATGTAGTTCTCTACCAATATTTAATGTCACTCTGCATTGTGTTTATGAGGGACTCCTAACAGACAGAGATAATATAAGTAATCGCATGAGTTTAAAAACCAAAAACAGGAAAATTGTTTTTAAATATCAACCATCCAAAGAAATAGAAAAATCATTTTCTAGTTTCCATAAATAATAGGAGTTTGAGTATCTTGTAGGATCAGATAACTGAATAAATCTAACAAAATCCATAAGTAGATCAAACCATTCAATGCCTAAAATAACTAGAACTATTTTCAACACTTTAATGCCATTTACCCACAGTGGATACTAGATAGCAACATTAATCCCTGTTCAGAAAACCCCCACTTTCCTGTAATTGATTCTTACATTACAGTAATGATAACAGAAAATGAAACAGATTCGAGCAGGGAATAAATTCTTAAATTTACCACTCTTTCCTAATTAATTCTTGGATTTTACCTGTGGAGAAACATCAAGAAATTGCCCATTTTACCCTGGCGACCACTAATTAATCTTTTAACTTTTGCCGCAGACGAGCGATCGGGAAACGCATTCAACAGGACTGCGCAAGAAAATTAAAAAAAGCGGCAAATAAATTGTTGAAATTTCACCTGGTAAACAGATTGGCGACGATTAGAGAGTAATTCCTGACACGTTTGGACACAAATCCGGTGAGTTCCTGCTCTCGAATTTTCAACTGCGGTAAGAAATCGCTTCTGAGCTCCATTTCCCCTCAGCTCCTTTTGTTGCTTACGAATCAAGATAGAGAAGAAGAAAGGAAATGAAGCATTGAAGTTTGATAGGGGATTATGCACAGAGGAGAATAAAGAAACTCAATAAGGTGGGAACTGGGAAAGAAATGGAAGATGCGAAATCAAGCAGGTGAAAAAGAAATACGAAAAAATTGTAGCCGTAACCATATCTATATTTTTGTACACGGAAATTTGCAATTCACGCAAGTACTCCCTTCCTCCCAACAAATTTGTTCCATACTTCCGGTTATGATTTTTAACAACCGTGCTACACCACAGTTAAACACAAACATTTTGATGGTTTAGTGCATTGACAAAAATTTTCACAGACACAAAGTGTTGGTGCGTTAAGAAAAATTAGTTTTACACCAACACAAAATGTTGGTGCAAACCTGCGGGGTACAAAGTGGGATACAAAAACTTGGGGTACAAATAGCTTAATCCGATTTTTAATTTATAATTACTTTTATTTCAATTTATTCTAAAACCGTTAAATATAGCAGATATATTACTCATATTAATTATAAAACATTTGTAACGCCCTACAAACCGGCCTAATACTTAACCAATATTTTATCTAAATAAATACTCCCTCCGTCCCATAAAACCTTTCTCCTTTCTTTTTTCATCCGTCCCATAAAACACTTCTCATTTCTATTAAAAAGTCACTTTTACCTTTACTTTTTCATACCCTACCCATCACATCATACCTTTTTACTAATACTCTACCCATCAAATCCTACTTTTACCCATCACATCAAAGGACATTTTTGGAAATTCAATACCAAAATACACTCCCTTAAATCTCTTCAAAAAGCAAAACATCCCATGTTTCATGGGACGGAGGGAGTATTATTTATTTATTGAGACTCATTATTTTAGATAATAAATATTGAGATTTTGATCTCATTAGATGGGCTTCAAAAGTTAATGTATTTTAATTAAGATATTTTTAATGACGGGACTCTCAACATTAATAAATTAAATAAATTAATTAATAATTAGGATGGACCCAGAAGTTTGAAAATAAAGTTTTGAGAAAAAATATCTTAAAGATGTCCAAAATTTAGTTTTGACGGTTTATTCCAAAAACGAAGCCGGTTTTCAATCCGGGGCTGTTCGGGGGGAAAGCGTCCACCGTTCAGGTCAGTTTTTATTTACAGAGTAACACAAAAAGTGATTCCCCAATTTTCCCACATGTACACGCCACACACGTACACCCCCCCCCCTCTACGCATTCATTCACCTCTTTAATACCCCACCCCACCACGATTACTCTCCATTATTTTATACACCCCTCTCCCTTCATTCCTTCACCACTTGTAAC